GTGTATTTTCTCTCCCAATCGCTAAAACTCTAGAAATAGGCTAATATATAGCCACTGAACGATACGGATTCATAGAAATCTAAAGAATATATATATACATGCGATATATATATATTTATAATTTTGCACACCCCCTTTATAACTCCCAGCGCGAACCCCCTGCTAGTATTGACCCTCTCTCTCATAATCTCTCTCTCTCTCTCTCTCTCTCTCTCTCACTCACTCACTTACATATGATATCCAAATAAAAGACATGAATAAAAAACTTTTCAATTCTTACAGAATACGCACACAAAAAAATATTATTTATATATAAAGTAACAAAAAAAATTATATATATATATTTATACATACAGTGTATATATTGGTGGTAAGCATTCGCAATGAAATGCCAGGAAATTGAAGTAAAAGGAAAATTGTTAGAGCATTGCATGCATGAGCGCCTGGTGTGATGGGTAGGCCTATCCCCTTAAATATCACAAAAAAATTATTTTTTTTTTCAATAACTATTTTTTACTCGAAGATCTCCCTCTCCCTCATACTCTCCCTCTCCCTCACAAATATTTGCTATCATTTTGTGTGTTGTCTTTCGACTTAATTCACTGCAATATAAGTATATATATACTTATACAAGTGTATATATATTTACTTGTGTTATATATTTATTATCCCACAGTTTTCCTATGTCTTAATGTCTTTTACTGTCTCACTATTACTTTATAACTAATATATAGTTATAAATATAATATATATTTTTTGTTATACCTTTTGTTTTACTCTTTCCTGTCCTCTCTCTCTCTCTCTCTCTCTCTCTCTCTCTCTCTCAAGTCATATCCCACTCGAATAATAGTCTATTATTTTTCATTGTGTGCTCACTTAAAAAGCCTAAACACATCGAAATTGATATAAAAAAATATTGTACGCCGAGAAAACATATACTAGCATTTTATTTTATTTATAGTCAACTGAGAAATAAAGAGATATATATTTATTGTGAAAGAAATAACAAAAAGAAATATAATTTTTATATACGCTCTCGACTGAGAAATACTATAATAAGTTATTTATATGTCACACACACTGCGAGCGGGTGGGGAGGGAGAGAGAGACTGGGAGAGTGAGTGAGAGAGAGAGAGACAAAAGGGGCATAAATTTAAATAAATTGTAGTTTTATTCGCAACCATTTTGTTAATACATCAAAAACCTCGGATAGAAAATGTGAAACAAGTTTTTTGATTCATAACACAGACTCTGAAAAATAAAATCAAAAACAAATACAGAAAATATTGATATAATAGAGAAAATGTGTGCAAAAGAGTGATAGGTTTTCCACCAAACAGGCGTTCATTTGGGACACCAGCAAAAAATATTTGCCATATTTTTTTAGTAGTAGTTGACGTAAAAAAATATGTATATATTTAAAAATTTCATACATTTATTATTGACATATTACATATATATTTATGTGTATATTGTACAAATATATTTTTTGTGAAAAATATTTTCACTTAAACATATCGTGTATATATTACTTATATTTATTGTAGATTAGAAACAAATAATTGAATTTGCAACATGTAGATATCCAGCACAAAAATGCATACCAGTGCGCTGGTGGTTAGGAAGGCCATGGCATTGAGCCCATCCTTAATCTCACATACATTAGTGGAGAGAGAGAGAGAGAGAGAGAGAGAGAGAGACTTAATATAAGTAGAAATTACTTTTCCAGCCTCTCATCCATTCATTGAATTCAAAGCAATTACTTAACAGGGAGTTAAGAGATCCAACTAAATATATTGAGCTCACAATGAGTTAATACAAAATGAATTAATCATTTGGAGAGAAATTTGATGAAACAATAAATAAAAAAAATAAATATAAGAGAGAGAAGAAAACATAACTTTATTTTTAATGCCAATAAGTGTTAAGCGAATTGATTCTCGCTATCGTATGAAATGTTTTTATATATCCTATTCTCATGTTTATAAGGCGTTAACTCTATTGTGTTTACAAGACATACAATTTAGGGCAGAGAGAGAGAGAGAGAGAGAGAGAGACTTAATATAAGTAGAAATTACTTTTCCAGCCTCTCATCCATTCATTGAATTCAAAGCAATTACTTCTTAATTAAGATATTTACTCATTAGAGCCATTAGTAGAGTGTCTTAAAAAATATAAGTAGTATTAGTGTAGTGTGTGTGCGAACTAACTGTGCATTACTTACCATAGAGTGAGAGCTCACAGGAACTCCTAAATCAAGGGTTAGGATGCGAAGGGATCGCAATAAGTACGAGACAAACGGCAAACGAATTAACATAAAAACTTGTTTTTGCAAATTATATTCAAATTATCCGTTTGTTTGCATTTAATTCAACTCATTTTGCAAACACAGAAATTAATCGCGTATTTATTTATTTGTAAAATCCTTTCATAACACAAATTATTATTTATATGAATATATTGTCGTGAATATTACGCAACTGATAATTTATTGTTTAATTTATTGTATTAGCGAAATAATTATTATTTAACCGATTTTTTGTGCGGGGATTTAATTTATATTTCGGGTGGCATTGGGTTCGCAATGAAAACTAATACTCCGTTTTTTGGTGTATGTCTTGAGTCCGTCTTTCGTGTACTCATTAAATAAATAGAGAGAGAAGAAAAAGAGGAGAGAAAAGTTTCGGTCACTTCAAAAGCCATTACTTCTATTACATCTCTCTCTCTCTCTCTCTCTCTCTCTCTCTCTCTCTCCTGTAGACTACTATCTATGAAATAATCTTAAACACTGGAGAACCGGTCAAAAAGAGATTGAGTGAAAATGTTTTGCTTCAGAAGGAGAGAGAGAGAGAGAGAGAGCACATATCGGGTGAGATGAGCAACAAAATTGCTGAAATACCGCATATAAAACACTTAATGTGTTTTTTGCTGCAAAAAATCTGTTTATAATATAATTGTGTTTAAAAAGTAAAAACTCTTTTGTGTGTTTGTGTTATAAGGAGTTTTGCATTCAATGGAGGGTTAAAAATATTTAACTGTTTATTATAATTGACTATTTATAAAGAGATACTGTATTTATACTGTACATTGTATTTACAACACAAGCTATTTCAATGGCATACAAATTGAATGTCAATACACTAGTTAATCGTAAACATATTTGCGCTGATATTATAATATGATTTATATTTAAACGTATTTATATTATATTGAATACAATATATTATCTCCGGCATTGATATAATTTATATTTAACACATTATACTGATTATAACCCGAAAGTGGTATTTAATATCTATCACTGATATTAATAGGTTTAATACCCCACTAACTAGACTTTTTAAAAAGTTTTAGCTATACACATAAATTGACATTTCTCACTGTGTTTATGGGTATTTGTTGTCACTCTCATTAAGGGCTTCCCCTCTACAAGTTATTGGATGTATACACACATCCATGCACTCACTCTCGCATAAAATACACACACATATTGTAATTTTCAGGCTATGGGTGCCAAACATATACACATCCTTCCAGCCATTTGCGAGTCCGTTGCCTCTATTAATACCATACTTATGGCCCTTAAATATATCGCATAATATATACTGTATTTTTGTGGTAAATATTAGAGTAGGATATCTCGAGAGAGAGAGACACACACAGAGAGAATGGTGAAGAAAAGAGACTCCCGTTCCCCTCCCTTTATATATGTGTGTATATAAAGTGGATGTATGTGTATATGTGTTGTCTTTCGCCGTCGTCTCACTCTCCGCACAATTTTTCCCTATCTTTACATTCAAAACAAAGTATTGATTTTTGTAAACCTATTTTCTGGAGTCATAGGCACTGAAAGTCGAGAGAGAGAGAGAGAGAGAGAGAGAGAGAGAGAGAGAGAGGTGCTAACAAAATAAGGGTTTGTTTAATCGTACACTTTATTCATAATATCAATGCATTTGGAGAATTGGGAGCTCTCTCTCTCTCTCTCTCTCTNTGTTTAATCGTACACTTTATTCATAATATCAATGCATTTGGAGAATTGGGAGCTCTCTCTCTCTCTCTCTCTCTCTCTCTCTCTTTGTGAGCGCAGAAAATGCTAAATATTTTTTCCTATGAATTGCGAACAAAAAAAATATTTATTATTATTTTGCGTATAATAATTTTTTTGTTATAGTGGGACACACAATGTGTAGAATTTTGTTTGACAAACAACACACTCATATGAATGGCAATTGTTATCAACAAAAATAAAAAGCAATACTTTTCTCTCTGTATGTCTGTGCGCTTAATAAATATATTTTATTAAATTAAATTATAATAACCAAAACATATATAATAAAATTATAGACATTTTGCTGGTAATAAAAGTGGTAAACCCGATACAAAATATAGTTATAATAACAATAAAAGTTTTTGTGAATAATAGAAAACAAATTAATATTAATTATTGTGTTGTGTATTAAAAACCCTCTTTGAGGTCACAAACGGATAAGCGATTGAAAAATAAAATTTAAAAATTGAATACAAATATTGAGCTTAAAAATTATATATCCCTAAACATTAAACAATAACCACTGCACACAAAACAATAACCAATTAAACGGAAAGTTGTTTTTCAAACAACAGTTTTATTATATATATTTAGCAAATTGTATAAATTATTGCAAATAATAAATACATTGTATTTCATCGACCGAAACGGAAATGAAATTAATTTTTATTTATTCCGAACTCATATTACTGTATATTTGTATGTAATATAAATCGAGTAATAATATTAATATAACAATAATATTGTTAATATAATTTTTAGACAATATATTACTACAAATGCCTTTTTGGCGGACATTAGGAGTGTATTTATAATGTATTTTCGGGTCTTAAAAAATCGTGCGGTTGAGGGAGAGGTAGTTATACACCAAATACTACCAGTGACTGACAAACTGTATGTCATAGGGACGCCAAATTGAGGAACGGGAGGCACAACCGGGAGTGCACTGTATATGTTTGCTGAGGGGAAATGGATAGAGAAAAATGGTGTGAAATATAAGTTGAGATATAATCTGCGAAAACACTGAACAAAACTACTTCAATACAAAAATATTTTAAACACAACCGTAAAACCTAAATATCTCGCGAATATAAGGGGTTATTATCATATGTGCAAAACTACCTGTGCCCTGTGTGTGTGTGTTTGTGTGTAACCCACACATATACATTTTTCCACACATTAATTATACAATAATATTTGTTTTCAAATTACAAAAAATTTTGTCTCTCAATGGTGTGAACCCCCGGTGCAGGCAATGGTTCAATATCTTGATAGCTGTCTGTATATACAGTATATATATTCAGTATATATTATGTAATAATAAAAATATATTGAAAAGAAATATTGAGTGCGAAGGGAAACGGAGGGGACATCAACCCTAAACCAGTCTCTATGAGCACTGGTATTATATATGAGGGGATAGGGAGCGAGAGCACAGGTATCAAAGGCCACTCTCTCATACATAACACATATTCATAAGACTTTTTTATAACACAATAACAACAATAATAGATACATAACCTGAATATGTGTTATACGTTATGGTGTATATAGTCGAGTAAATATATATAATATTACTTGTAAATGTATTTATACGCAAAAATGTTAACCAATTTTTTTTGCTTGTTGTTTAAAAAGTATTTTATTTTCGCCAATGATTATACTGTGTGTTTGGAAATAAATTTTTTAGTTTTGCAAATTATTTTTGATTTCTCATATTATTATTACTGTTTATGTGTTATATTTGACACAATATGTATAAATTATTACTTATATTGTATGTAGGAATGAATGATAAAAACATATTATAAACACTTATATAGTATAGAAAAGGTAGTTTATATTATTTTATTCAATACCTCAATAATATTCAAGAATTTATGAGCACTTTTTTACGGATAATATTTATGATTATTTGTTATATAAAAATTGAAAATACATTTTTTTTGCTGTTCACTAAATATTATAACAATTTTCCCCTCAATTTTATTTTGTAGTCAATTTAGTTCACTGGCGAAAAAGGCTTTTACTTTAGGTTTTTGTGTTTTTTGTATTTATCATTTCATTTTATTTATTCATTTGATACGAAATTATGGCAAAACATGTTTTACTTGAAAATATTTACTTTTTTAACAAAATATTATTATATATTTAATATTTTGCGAAATACAAAAATTAATTTGCTTTTACATTGCATTATGAAAGTTATGACTAAAATCTGATTTTAAAATATTCTTTGTTTTTCGTAAACTTTTTTTCTTGTATTTTATTTCTTAAAGATTTTGTGTTTTTTATTAAATGGAGAGAAAAATTGCGAATTTTAATTTATACCATATTTTTGGCAAAATATTCATCCATTCATTGTGTGTATAAATACGGGGATATTCTGTGAGACATATGAGAAAATAATTGTTTTGAATTTTAGGCTAATTATGATTATCGCCAAAAGGAAGGATAAACGGAATAATGAATGTTTGTATTGTGTTTAATAATACTGTAGTTTGTCTATTATGTAGTAAATGGTTAACTAATATACAAATAGCAACTATAATAGCCGAGTTATATATATATATTATATAGTGAGCTAGAATAAAAAAGTATAAAATAAATTATGACTGACATAACTACGAGAAAATGAGAGCTCTCTCTCTCTCTCTCTCTCTCTCTCTCTCTCTACTATTTTTTGTGTGTTTGATATGATTTATAACGTAATCGCGAAACATATTTCAAACACCAAAATTTGTGACCGATTTTTATTTCAAAGTAAAACACTTTTTTCCCTATTTATAGCTCCAAATACGCTAAATATACACAATTTATATAAACACACAAACATTTGAAATAATATAATTAAATTTGCACAAAACGAAATATAATTAATTTTAAAACACAATTACAATCAATTATATTTGCGATTTTATGTTTTATTACTCGCTGATAATTACACACTAGCTATTTAATAAAATAAAAGTACGATAACTACTTTTTATTGATTAGCTAATAATATTTCAATTTCTCGTTTCCAGCGATTATAACATACTATTCATGATTCATATCAATACAGATATTACAGTCAAACTCACGTTTTTTGTAGCAAACATCGCTCCCCTCTATACATCACTTTTATACCTCTTTTTTCTCAATCCCTTTATTTTTCTCTCACTCTTGCGATCTATTACTGTATGAAAAAAATAGTTTTTTTGTCTGATATTCTTGTTATTTCATTGTGTTTTTTGCTGTCTATACTATTCACTCGTTTACTATAGAGAGAGCTAAAAAAGAGAGCATTTATTTCGTTGGCTTTTGGTCTTTAAGTGAATATACGGTGTGAGAGAGAGAGAGAGAGAGAGAGAGAGAGACGACTTTAGTTGAGTTGTATATCTACTGTAATATGTATCGGAGTCTCTCAGAATTCGCACATAATTTCCTGTAATTTTACAAAAATATAAAAGTAAATCTCGAATTGAATGTATCAAAAAAGGACAAAATATACTAGCGTATAAATTTTGATGTGAAAAAAGTAAAAAATAAAATAAAATCCACGAATCGTTGCAGATGTCTAGCGATATAATGGTATTGTATCCATAAGTATAACAAAATAATATTTTTCAAAATATTATATTACTTTCCGATAATATTATATATTTATATGCATATTATTTTTTGTATGCGACAGAGAATTATGTTGAAATTTTAAACCACTAGAAATTTACGATAATATTATAAATTATGATGTTTAAATAAATATTAATACTGTTTATATGACGGGGGAAAATATACAGTATGTTTTGCAGTCATTTTGTATAATCATTTATGTGTTTTTGGCAGAAAAATATGAAATTCAATAGAATTAACAATAATTTCATTTATGATATCATTTTTTATGACTTCACTCCGAAACGGAAATTCATATTTATTTTCTATAAACAAAACATTTACAGACTATTTATACGTTGTTTAAGGAGTAATTTAAGTTAAGAAAAATTCATTTCAAATCTCTCTCTCTCTCTCTCTCTCTCGTGTAATATAAAACTTATCGAAACAAAAATGTCTCGAAAAGAATTAATTATGGAATCGACTCTCACGGCTCGTATATGTATACCATATACCAGTGCCACTATATGGTGTGGCTGTATGTCTACGAGTAGATGTGGTATTCCGAGCACAGGGATGTTAAATATAAATCGTATAATATGGTTGTATGTGTGTATGTGCCCAATGCCTTACAGCCATATGTTATTTATATAACACATAATTTATTCAGTATAGTAGCTGCAAAATAACACATAAGCCATGAATGAGCCAAACATTTGCTGAAAATTATATTCAACGAAACAGAAATAATTTTTTTGCCCATATTTTCATATTCGCTAAATTACTTTAGTGTTTATATATTTAATAAATATATTTTTTGTCGACGAATTATCTCTAATTTTGCGACAATTTTATTGTTTAGTTTTCTCGCAGTTTTTTCTGTTTGAATTGTATTTTATTTTTTTGTGTAAAATAATAAAATTATAGCGAATTATATGATTGCGAGTGAAATTGATTTAATAAATCATTCAAATTATTAAATTTTAAAACATATTTTTCTATTATGTTTTTCATGCGATTAGTCGGGAATAAGCAAAAACAAAAACAACAAATATTTTAATTATAATACACTTTCAGAAAGTTTAAGAAACAGATTAGTAGTGAACAGACATTGGGAGAGAGAGAGAGAGAGCACAGAGAAATGTCTTAACATTTTTGCGATAATAACTGGAGATAAATATGTCGTTAAAGAGAACGTCATTATATATAAAAACTATTTTTCAAACGAAAAATATTTTTATTTATAGTTTATTATTAGTTTATTGTGTGTAAAGTGTTTAAAAGAGAAAGGGATTTAACTTATATTATTGAGAAATATATTTTTAGGGTTTATATACACACTGAATACACCAGAAATATCTATATATCTCTCAATTGCCTTTCCATGAAATTCCGGCAATATTGTGTGGATTGGGATTTTGAAATGTAAATATTTATTACATTAGAGAAATTTTATGAAAAATATTTTCGCATCGCTTAAGGAATACTAATTAACATTTAATTTATTTAAGTAATTGATAAATACTTGCTCCCTATTTAAATGCATACAACGGGCACCCGTTTGTTAAGCGCCTATTTACGAGTACTTTGTTTATTAATAATGTATTTATTTATTATTAATATTCATAATAATAAGCGCATGAAGTGCGGGGATGGGAGATAGAGAGGACAGGGAGGGGACTGGGAGTATGTGCCCTATCTTTACGCCGTGTTTAATATTCAAACACCTAATATGATAGCCTGGAAATGGTATCATAAAATGGGTCCCAATTTTACCATAACTTTCGCTGACATTATAATGGTTAGGGCGATGGGTTAGGACGTGATATATACTACAGTTCCTCTCTCGCCAGTCACACACGCTTTTGTATAATCCATTGGTTCAGTAACTCATTTCATATACCATTCATTCAACTGATGGTTTTTGGCGGAGAGAGAGAGAGAGACATAAAAATGGGTGAAAACTTCACTCATTATAATACTCGACATACACTGCGTGTGTAAACCCATTGGAGTGCCTATGAGTGCAATTGTGCCCGAAATTTATCATTTGATGAATACTCAAAATTGTCATCAAATGGGTCCACACATGCATCCAAAGGTCCAAATCCTATCGGAGCTCTCAATACAGAGCACAACCCTAACGAACAGTAGTAGTGAGCAGTGGTATCGACATAAGTAGGGATGGGAGGGGGGAATACAATATGGGGGTCACCATATATTCCGTATATAAAATAATAGGATAAAATATACGGTGTATTGAAAGGCAAACACTTTCTTTCTTTGAGCCGATATTCAGCCACAGACTGGAGAGAGAGAGAGAGAGAGAGAGAGAGAGAGAGAGAGATGAAGTGAGAAATAATAATAATAACATTATAGATGAACCATGTTATAAACAATAAGATGTTTGCATTGCATGAATGAATGAACGCTTGATTAGTTTTGTTTGTCACATAAGAGTAGTATAGTAGGCAAAAGTGGTCTCATTTGACATAATATGAGTTATTATGAGGATTGCATCTCAAATTTATTATCAAATTTGATTGTAACTGCAATTTGTTAGTCAAGTAACAATTAAATCAAGCACACTTCTGTATTATTCAATAAATTACAATAGAATATAACTTTTCTACCGTACAGTACATTATGCATTGTGATACAAACAGAAGTTTTATATCGTTTAAATATTAAATAATTTAATATATCTAAAAATTATGAAAATTATTAAAATATTTAGTTAATAAATCGTTTTAACAATTATATGAAATGAATGTTGTTTGATTTGAATATAAAAATATGTATAGCAATAAAAATTTATGTTTAAAATAAGTAAACTAAAAAATAACAATTATTGATTATTTATATTGCTAACCAAAAACCAACTGACCTCGGTGCGACTTCTCCTCCGAAAGTGAGAGAACTGACTATGTATTCAATTATTATTAAATATTATTTATTTATTTATTTATTAAAAACATGTTTATATATATTTTAGTTAAATCAATTAATAATTTACTAATTATAATTTAAATTAAATATAAATAAACACTCAGCTCTCCTTTTGAAGCATACATTTAGAGAACGAAATATAAAATAAAATAAAAATCTCTCTCTTAGCTCTCTCTCTCTCTCTCTCTCTGTGTGTGTGTGTGTGAGAGAGAGAGAGAGAGAGAGAGAGAGAGAGAGAGAGAGAGAGAGAGAGAGAGAGAGAGAGTATCATTATGAAATGATAGTTAAAGAATATTACACTTTGTGAGATCCCAGATATTCATTACTAATATGTCTTTTTGAGAAAAAAGAAAATTGAGTCAAACTGTATAACTGTATATAAGAATTTTTCCCAATTTTGATCTCATTATCAGTCGGTGCCAAATGGCTGTCATGGAGAAGGACTTTAACAATCAGCACAACCATAATATCAGATATTTATCACAATCATAGCTATAATAAAACAGTTATGTTGTTTTCTTAGAGAGAGAGAGAGAGAGAGAGAGAGAGAGAGAGAGAGATTTGTACGAGTTTGATTTTGTGAATAATTAAATATAGTTTTCAGGATATTATACTCTCATACAAAAGACATACATTTGTGTTGATGAGAAATACACATTATGTTGAGTGACGTTTTGCTGAGATATTAATAACTTAAATAGAAATATGTATTAAAAGAGTAGTAAAAGTGTGTATAAATTTTGATTAATTTTCTTATCTCATGGTTCCTGACATTAAAAGTTATTTCTATAATTGTTTTCAAATATGGCTCACAATTATAACACAAGCATTGAGAGCACTCACAGATACAACATATTGTTTGAAAGTTTAATTCAATAATGCATTCATTTTCTCGCTTTCATTGATTTTCTTCATTTGGTTGCCATTAAATGCTTCATATAATATATAATATATAATATATAATATAAGATATACTCTACTCTTCGCTATATTGTATTGTTTTTCATATACAGTACAGTATTACTTATTAGTAATACATATTAGTACCTGATTTCTTATAAGGTACCAAAAAATAATAGCATTGAGAGCACTCACAGATACAACATATTGTTTGAAAGTTTAATTCAATAATGCATTCATTTTCTCGCTTTCATTGATTTTCTTCATTTGGTTGCCATTAAATGCTTCATATAATATATAATATAAGATATACTCTACTCTTCGCTATATTGTATTGTTTTTCATATACAGTACAGTATTACTTATTAGTAATACATATTAGTACCTGATTTCTTATAAGGTACCAAAAAATAATATTTGATATAATTAATTAGAAAGTATTTTGTCATATTGTGATTTCATTAGAATAACCCATGTGATATTAATTAAGTTTTAGGAGAATGCCACAATTTAAACATTAAATCAAATCCAATCATTCATTTAAACATTTCTTTAATATCAGACTTTAATGCAGTTTAAGCCACACAATAATATTAATAAAAGCAAAGTTGAAATAAATCACTAGATTTAACAGTTATAAAACAGAATAATGAGAAATAAGAAGTCCATCTAGCATAGTGATTCACTGATTCATATTGATCATGAACATTTAAAAAGTATACATACAGTGCATCAACTCTTCTCTATTACGACTGGTATAATGTTAAACAGTACGGTATAGTCATATTAAATCAGAGTTTTACTTGTTAGTAAACGTTTTGAATATTTATTGCAAATATTGTATGTTTACTATGCAATATAATAGTTGATGAATATGTACTATAATAGAAATATTATTAAAAGTATGTTTAAAGTTTTTAAGTTATATGAATTGTTTTACATCATGTTAATTGTAAATTGTATAAAATTACAATGCATTCACTCATAGTCATTCAAATGAAATACATACCCTATATTATTTGTTAAAATTTATAATAAACAATAGTAGTCTATAATTGTAAATATTAACTTTGGTATCTAATATAAAAATTAAAATGATGCGCATTTTAGTATTTAAAGCTTATGTATGGATAAGAGTAAAGCAAATATAAGCCTATAATAGTATAAGCCAATGCATTATTATAATTTGATTGAAAACTTACTCAAAGTATTCTTGAGCGGGACTGACATCATCTGCATTAGAGCCGTTCATATTCCTCCTGAGATCCATAGTTTTGCATTTCGGTGTATTCCAGGGGTTATTGCATTTCATCCAGGGCAACTCAAACGTTGCAAGTGATGCCAGCGATGCAAATAAATAGTAAAATGCCCATGCTATAGNTCTCTCTCTCTCTCTCTCTCTCTCTCTCTCTCTCTCTCTCTCTCTTCACTCCCCCTCTCCCACTCTCTATCCCTGATGAAGACGTGAAGTGTTGGAAATCCAAAGGTCTGATGGCATCGACTCGATCGGTGCAATCAAGGTCTCACTGGCCCTCTGCCTTATGATGGTCTTCATTCTGGTCTACTTCTCGCTCTGGAAGGGAGTTAAGAGTACCGGAAAGGTATGCCACAAACTTTTACAAATAATAGTAATAATCAAGACAATTATATTATCTCTGAGAGCCACCACTATGTCTGAACTCATAAATTATAAACAACTTTATTTTACTAGAATATATTAATATATTTTGTAAAAATAAACCTTTAAAAATAATTGCATGAATATGCTCACAAGTACAGTACAATGTAATAAAAATATGTTCAAGTAAGTTACTAGTATTTTTTAGAAATAACAAACATTGTATGATATAAAATATAATCAAGTATTTATCATTTTGCATGGACAGGCCGTTTGGGTGACAGCACTGATGCCCTATTTTGTGCTTTTTATTTTGCTCATCAGAGGTGTGACCCTTGAGGGCTCAATGGATGGCATCAAGTATTACTTATCTCCCTCTTGGGATAAATTATATTCAATTAATGTAATTATTAATTACATAACAATTACATAACATTCAGTGTAGTTGATTAGTAGACCTGTATTATAGTTGTATATTAAATTAAATATTTAAATATGGGGTCCAATAGGTTTGGATAGACGCGGCCACACAAATATTTTTCTCGTTAGGACCCGGATTCGGTACTTTAATGGCACTTTCGTCATATAATAAATTCCATAACAATTGTTACAGGTTACATTTATCATGTTTATGATTACAGACATCAATTCTTTAATAATGCCATTTGATTGTCATTGTGTAGAGATGCCATATTCACGAGTACTATCAACTGTTTGACCAGTTTTATGGCTGGGTTTGTCATATTCTCGGTATTGGGATATATGGCTCACAAAATGGACAAAGATATCAGTGATGTGGCCGCTGGAGGTAATCCACAATACATCTTACACTTACACTTCCCTTAAATATGTAATCACAACAATTAATTCTCATTATAAAATTGACAAACTTTTCCAGGTCCCGGCCTGGTATTTATAGTATATCCGGAAGCTATTGCCACTATGCATGGCTCAGTTTTCTGGTCGATATTGTTTTTTGTTATGCTTATAACACTTGGTCTGGACAGTACTGTAAGGCACCTATTTATTTGAGCATAAATTTGCTGTATATAACATCATAACTATTATTAAATCGTTACAGTTTGGAGGCTTAGAAGCCATGATTACCGGTCTATGCGATGAATTTCCTAGTCTTTTGCGACGAAATCGCGAAATATTTGTTGCATTCATCATAGTATTAATATATTTATGTGCTTTACCAACCACCACTTATGTAATATAGTGTTTGCATGATCATGATCAATTATTGTGTTATACCCTATTTATAATCCATTTGCTACTTAGGGTGGAAAATATGTATTGAATTTGTTGGATCACTATGGCATATCTTTGTCATTGTTATTTATTGTATTTGTTGAAACAATAGCTGTTTGTTGGTGTTATGGTAAGTCAATATTAAATAAAATTTTGTGATTATCATTATCAAAAATATTGCATTGCTAGATTGATAATATTGTTTTATAGGATCTGAAAAGTTTTCGGATCAAATACAAGAAATGCTTGGTATGAGACCCGGCATATTTTGGCGCACCTGTTGGAAATATATCAGCCCTTTCTTTTTAGGAGTAAGATCTTATTATATAATATTATTTTACACTTACATCCAGTGATCAAGACTACCCTTAAGACCTACATACATGCACACACAAAATAAATACAATTTCTACGTTTTAAAATTAGTAAAATAAAATGAGCCAAATAAAATAGCTTAAAATCTAAAATAGTACATGGTAGTTGCTAAAGAACGATAAAATTTGGGAGGCTTGGCATTTGGACACCCTGTATTATATTTTCATAATTCTTTTTCTATGTTGCAGAGGAAATGTTAGATTTTTATGTGATATATAATTTGTCATGGTTATATTTTTAGAAATACATTTATAATTAATTCTTTTTGTATGTAATAATCAATTTCTATATAAAAATTTCTCAAAACAACACAATTTTTTCTCGACTTTTTGAAAAAATCATTTATAGAAGTTTTTTACAAATATATTCTGGACAAATTATATATCACATAAAAATCTAACATTTCCTCTACAACATAGAAAAATAATTATGAAAAAATAATACAAGGTGTCCAAATGCGAAGCCTCCCAAATTGTATCGTACTTTAGCAACCACCCTGTATTTATAATATACATATCATCAGAAACAAGAATTGCACAAATTTTAATTATTAATTAAAATGATTTAATTTAATTTATTAGTACAAAACTTCTATGATTTATAAATAGTATATCTGACTATAAAATTATATTACTCAATTAATAATAGTGGTCACTTGTCCGCCATATTTTGTTTTAAAGATTTGCATTAAAATAATTTCCATTATTTATATAACTTTGGTCAAAATGGTATTATTTGAACACATTTTTGTTTACCCTCGTTATGAGAACAAATCTTATTAAATGAAACCATTTTGACAGTACATTATGTACATTATGTATTGCATCAATAATGAAAGCATTTGTTGTGAAAATCTTCAAAACTGGTGCAAAGCCTTTCAAAGCCTATGCATACTTTGGGTAACTAACGGCCGAAATATGGCAGCCAAGTGACCAGTATCACTAATTGAGTGATATTTTATAACCAGATATACTATCTATAAATCATACAGTATTTATCAATAGTTATATTTTTAACAGGTTTCAGAAAATAATTTTGGTAATTGATTACATAAATTATTTGGCTAAAATTTATATAAAAATTTGCTTGATTTTTTATGACATAATAGAAATTAAGTTTTATATTTTAAACTAACCTTGTGTCATCTAAAACTAAAATAGATTTACTAAGTTTTACTAAATATACTGACAATGCGTTCCCTTCAAGTGTTACTCAGGTAATTAAATAAATTAGACTGGATTATACTCGTATAGTATGGTATAATAAGACTAACCAGGTCCGGTAATCTAGCGGGATGTCTTAGATGTCCAAATCGGTGATTATATTAGGGACGCGCTATACATTTTTGAATTGAAATACATTAATTCCTAGTATTGTAACTCTGACTCGTATAGTATGAATAGTTGAATACGTTTTTATAACAAAAATGTATAGAGTTTATATAGTGTCCCTAATATAATCACCGATTTGGACATCTAAGACATCCCGCTAGATTACCGGATCTGGATAAAATTATTATATCATACCATACGAGTATAATCCAGTTTATTTTATTTAATTAACTGAATAACACTTGAAGGGAATGTATTGTGAGTTTATATAAAATGTACTGTACTTTTATAATTGCATTGCGATTCAAACTTTTCATAAATTCATGATAGTGAAATATATAAACTTGCAAACAAAATGACTAATATGAAGTTCATTATATGAACATTGATTAACATTAATTTGTGTTTTCATATTAAATATTTGGTCAAATATTGACAATTTTATAATCCAAATGATGACATTCATAATTAATACTTACTGTGATTATTGTATGGATTGTTAGTTCATATTCTTTGCCGCGTTATTTGAGTTCAAGAACCTGGAGGTGGAAGACTACGTGTACCCAAATTGGTCTATTTTTGTGGGCTGGCTCATCACCCTGTCATCCATGTGTTGCATCCCTTTCTATGCCATCTATAAGTTCATATCATTGAGTGGATCTCCAATTGAACGCTTTGTGAAGTCATTTAAACCCGAGTCCAGCGGCGATAATGTTTGCAAAAGAGATGAATTAAAATCAATTAATCCTCTCATAAGTCACGTGTAATCTGTTCTTATTTATTATACAAATGTTACAATATATACGCTACACATTATATATTAACTTTAGTTCATCATGATAGTTAAATATACCAAATTTAACACAATTATATGAAATCCAATGAATTGCTAAAATTCTTCTTACATAATATTATTATTATATTTAAAATTTATATTATCAATTCATTTCGGGTGTTAATTAATTTTATCTTTTCAAATATACTATTAATGGTCAAATTGTTGGAAATGTAAAATAGTTGTTAGACTTATCAATTTACTTCATATACAGGTATTGATGTCTTTTGTCAATATGACAACTACTGTACTAACATTTCATTTGAATGATTATGCATTCCACATATATTCCACATATATTCCACATATTCTAGTAAATTATTGTCACACTAATGACAAACTTCTTGTTTAGTATGAATGTACAGTATTGTGAAATTGTTATATATTTAATAATTCCAATGTTATCTATAAATCACTTTTATTTTTAATTATTTAATCATATATTTATATGTTATAACCATATAAACGTATGCTAATATAAATAATTATTTAATTGTAAATTAATTAAGTTAAATATTCATTTTATATTTTACTCAATTATTGTTGCATCAATTTAATTAATATAGTTTATAATATATACAGTATATACCAACTTTAATTTTTGTATTAAATAAATTTATGTTTCACAAAATATATTTATTTTATATTATACAAATATAAATCTAAACTTACTTACTACAGTAATAACACATAATGATTATATTAAATACATATGTATTAGTTTCTGATTATAAAATATCTTCAATTAAAAATGGTTAATTAAGTAGTTAATATTTATTTATTAATTTAATTATAAATTATTATTTGATATAATCTTTAAAAATATCTTTTTCTACAAAGACAATAGTTGTGATTGATAAATTAATGTCCAAAGTAGAGTACAATTAGTGATTACTGTGCACGTACTTGGAACTATTTAAACATTAAGCGTAACATTGTAATACTGATTATTAAATGCTAGATTTAGCATTTGGTTTGAAATAATGGTGTCATAAAATTAAACTAATTTAACATGTGTCTATTATTATGAGCAATATTTCTAATTAGTTTTAGAGGACAAGAACTGATTTTTTAAAATGTATTTTCTATTTAAAAAGTTCTCGATTTACATTTTTGTTTAGATGTTTTTAAAATTATTATTATACCCAAATATATGTTTCAGAAAAGTTGCTATTAGAAAATGTATTCTACAAGAGTTACAATAGTGATTGTATCATTTTTATTTATGGCATCAGGTAATTAGAAATTAAATGTTATAAAATTTATAAGCATTACATGTAAATATGATTATTTTATATTTGGTGGAAAGCCGTTCCTATATTACGTGAGGACCACGAAGTATATAATGATATGTTCAAGAACCACGTGGGAGTGGGTGTAGGTGTGGGTCATGTAAATAAGGAGTCACTGATCCCTAACAACGCGGCCAAAGCCATCCACCAGTGGTGGGATCTTGAGAGCCAAGCCGTGGACGACCCCGAGGCTTATGACACCACCGATGATAGGCGATGGAGGCGAAGAAAGTATCACTCGATCGGTGTTTAAATGGTAACACTCTTTGTATCAGTTTTACATGTTTTCGTCTTATAATCGTCTTTGACATGTTTTGTCATAATCTAAACCATTAACAACTTAACTTGACTTGATCAAATTAATATCGCAGCTGTGACCAATTACATTTATGATATGATTAAGTCATTCACACACAGGCGTTAGAGAAGGGTCAACTTATTAATAATATCAGTTATATTTTCATATAAACTTATGGAGAATAAAACATGAATCAATTTTATTTAAAATCACTAACGCCTGTCTGTGAATGATTTAATCATATTATACATTGATTCAATATATGATAATCTTATGATTAATGTCCCACTGCGATCAATAATATCTTTACAAACTTATTATAATCCAGGTAAACAACTCCCTAATTTTATATTCTTCCAAATATTATATAAACTACAGTATATAAACATTTTACTAGAAATTATTTAAATAAAAGTTTAATAATTTTATGCAATAATTACAATAATATATATAAATCAATATGGTAACTCTATTCATAATTTATCTATTAATATCATATAAAAGTATTTCAAAATTATTGGATTATAAAAAAATTAATTATATTTTAATTAATTAATCAATAAAAAGTAAAACAAAGATAAAAATAATGTTCATACAGTATTTGTTAGTTACAATGTTAATTATAATGTTACAAATTACAATTATATTCTTAATGTTTTAATCATATTATTAAAAGCACAAAACCCAATTGAAATGTATACCCCAAAGTAAAACAAACTAAATTATAGGCAATAATTAAAGTTTGTTGATTGAAAATAATAAAAATTATATGGTGTGTAATATCTATTTAATGAATATATTATACAGTATAAGAGAATACAAAATAGTGTACTCTTAAATAACTATACTGTACTGTTTATAACTAGTAATACATTGAATGGTGAATACCTACGAATAGCTTATAAGACAACGGCATTAAAGGGCACAATATTCTCGACCTGTTGTGCAGCGCGTGTCCTATCAGTCGACGCCTGTATTCGCTTCGATATGACGGCGAGTCGTCTCTTAAGCGCCATATCGTCTATGAGTGCGTCGACCGACGCCACCAACGAAGTCATACCACAGGTGTATGGGCTAAGAGTGAGTCCCAGAGCCAACTCTTTCACTCTCTGACTGTTCTCGAAGTGATCCCCAAACAGAGGCAATATTATCAATGGTTTGCCAAAATGTATGGCCTCTACCACTGTTTGATTGCTGCCATCAGTGATCACAAGATCCACGTGTGGCAGCACCTCAAGCTGTTTCACCTTTGGCTTTCCCCACATATTGTCAGCAAGTTCTAGTTGATCACCTAAAGCACCGGTAACCACAATATACCGGTGCCCGCTATGACTTAAATTAGCCACAAGTTTACTCATTAATGCCTTATCTGCGATGCCCACCCGTCCCATATTAACGAGTACAAGTTTGCCTGGCTTATTAGCCAATTTGTTTGGTACACTAAAGTTTCTGTCCAACGAAGACACACCACTCACCAGACTGTCCACTCGGAGCCAATTCTGAGGCAATAATGTATTGTCTGAATAATAGTCCAACTCTTTTGGATAGACATAAACATTGAGATGAGGCGAGTGAAGAGTTAACTGCTTGGACGCCAGTGTCGGCGCACCGGTAGATATGTACCAACTGTTGAGGTCATTGCGAAAATCAGCCAATATTTCATTGAATTTAGAATTAAATTCATGCCAATCGTTGCCATCACTTTTATACGGCATACCTTTCCATTTGATTATTTTATTGAAAACATTATAACAATTAATGGCAATTATGTGGCAATACTGGCACATACCTGAGAAAGGAGGGGGAAGTGTATTGTCCCAAAGACATAATAATGGTGCACCTGAGAAGAGACATACCCAGGGTATGCCTTGAGTGATGAGTGCGGGCGCACACACCAGAGCGTCGACCACAATAACGTCGGGTCGGATAACTTGGACGACAGAGCGGTAGTGATCGTCCAGTGCCTGACATTCGCGCAACTCTTGACTCATTTTGTGGACACAATATCCGCCAATTATTTCCAATGTATTGCCTTTAAGAGCCTCTGCATTGTTGGCCACAAAGGCTCGCCAGTCATCGCCTTCCGACTCCCTGTCAGTTACCTCGTTGTCCACTGAATGCAATACCTCTTCGAAGCCATATTTAGCTGCCTGTCCTCCGTATGCCTTATCGATGGCGAACACAATGCGATGCCCTCTGTTCAGCAATTCTTGAGCCAACCCGTGACTAGCGTTCAAACGACCCAAGCCATAGCCCGGCGCGAACAGCACTGTTAGCTTTGTTGTCATTTCACTTCAAAGATTAGTGATTAATGTGACGACAATACTGTATTCATTCAATTATTATATCAATGTTCTCAACACACTTTCATGAGCTAAATGTCCAAATGTCTCTATTCACCACTTTTTATATACTTTCATAGTATACACCATAGCAATGATCTTCTAATACATTGCTAATGTCTTTACCATTGAATTCATTATTCAATGAAAATCAATAAATATATTTTAAAGGATTTTAATTGCATTTTATATTCTGCACTCATGTGCGAAGAAATGAATAATTTTTTACTTTTTTATGTATACTGTAGATGTGAACATTTTTACAAAGATAATTAAATTCATTTATTCATTCATTTTAAATCATAACGAGTTCTTACGTATAAATACATAATTATTAATTGAGAATATTTTATAGAACAACCTACAGTATAATCTACAGTATAATGTATGTATTGACATCTCTAACTTTCTAATATATTCATTTCAAGTATTTGCAAAAAATTGATTTCTTTTAACAGTATATACATGGTCTCAATGATTTACTTATTTTGATTCAATAATATGTATAAATTATGAATTGGTTAGTCCCATGAGAAGGTAACTTAAAGTTGGCACTTGATATTAATAAAGTGTAACATTAATTTATAATTTATTTCATCCCATTCCTATCATTGATAATGAATTTATTTATTTGAAGTTCATATTCAATTAGTGAATCAATGTTATGGAATATTATCTTATACAAAATTAAATACTGTATTATAAATTGTCTATACTTCATATTTTAAAATAATTAACTTTATTTAATAATTTGAAAACGAAATAAAGTATTATAAATTTATAAGTTATAAATATAGATAGTCTTTTTATTATTACAATATTTAAGAATTAAAATAAAAGATGTTACAACTCTATTATCTTATTTTATTATTCTCTATCATTTGATTTACTACAAAACAAAGTTATTATATACTTAAATACAAATTTTTACCGTCAAAACTAAAAACAAATATTTCAATTATTTGTATTGAATAATTGATAAAAGAGTTCCTTATATAAAATACACACACTTTCCTAAACACATGAATAACTTCACAGTTATATTAATATTGTTCGTTTGTAATATTTCACAGTAATATGGTATTTAAAGTCAATAGCCTAGATATTTTAATTAATATTTAAACATTTTATACAATATAATTTTTATTGACTTCATAAAAATAAAATTTGAATATCAATATCATACTGCATTTAAAATATTTTAAAAATTTCAAAGCTTATAAAATAAATCTGTATCTCTATTAATCTAACTTGTAAGCACAAACATTTTTAGGAAATAATTTATTATAATGTATTTTAATTTGTATTATTAATTATTTGTAATATGTTAAAATATAGGGTTATTTATAATAGATTTCTATGGAAGTTCTAATATACTTTAAAACTGATAATAAATTTACAAACAATTGAAAACAATTACTGTTGTATTATATCATAAATCCAATCTAAATAATAAGGAATATAAGTATATACACCGGGAAAGTAGGGCTGTGCACATTGAAAGCCAAATGACACGACACCTAACAGGTATGCAATGCTATTGAAATGGGCTGTTAATGGACCTCCTGAATCTCCCTGTTCACAATACAAGTATACATATAAAAACATGTTGTTATGGTAAGAACAATGATTATAATGTATGGCACCTGACAGGCATCCTTCCCCCCCTCTTCATAACCGGCACAAATGATAGAGCGCTTCATTCCTATGGGATATTTACGGCCACTTTCTATGAGATTCTTGTAGTTGTGTTCACAATAAGTGTTGTTCACTATATTGAGATCTACTTCCTGTAGAACCGATGCCTGAGAACCACCAAACAGAGTGTCACCAAAACCCGATACAAATGCTATTTTATGCCAAATGTGTGTTTTGTTGAGCCATCGTCTCTTTGGTAGACATACCGGTGCGATCTCATCGGAGAACACTATGTCATGTTTACACCTTATAATAGCTAAGTCGTGATAAATGCGAGGCTGAAAATACCTCTCGTGAGCCAATATGTGTGACACACGATATACCGATCCGTTGTATAGTCTTATAGAACCAACCCTTATGTGATAATCACTGGCCTTTCTGTGGCAACAATTCATATGAATCAAATAATCAGTCCATCTTATATTTAAGTAATGCAAATGCTATACAGTAGTAGATTTTACATGCAAACCATGCCATGTCAATTATTGGTATACATATGATCCTAACCCTACCTATTGGTTTGAAATTAACTATAAGACAAGCGCTTCACATACCGGCTATTATCAAAACAATGTGCGGCTGTTATCACATGTTTGTTGTCAATAATAGATCCACCGCAAACAAAATGACCACGGTAGTATATGGAACACATCCATGGTATCTGACCCACGCGTACACTATTTCCCATAACTATGCGATAGGCGGCCGGGTATAGCATGTCCAACAACTCGACTTCATTTTCGGACCTTTTCCTATGGGTCTTATCGGTGGTATTGAACGGCAACTCTTGAGACACAACACGAGAAATACCACAATTACAGTGCACTTGTGGTTCGTGCCCATCATGATCATCCCCATCATCATCCCCATCATCATCCCCATCATCAACTCCATCATAGTCCACATGCCGTCCCTCTTGTGTGAGCTGATGAGCCGTATTGTTGGTGTAATACTGATAACTGTTGGTCTCGTGTAACAGGATTTGCATGAATTGGTGTTCGGAATAACAGCATAACTTGGAGGGCAGTGGGCGTCCGTCTGGCCAGAGACAGGCGTTCCACATATGGGAGTGCGGCTGTTGGCGTACACACGAACGGGTCGACCGACACGTGCCCTCCACTCCATTGTATTGCATACAAGTGTTGCCACTTGTATTGCCACTTGTATTGCCATTATTTTCATGTCCATTATTTCGTAACATACTTTTGACACTAAAATCAAACCGTAATGTTTGCACCAAAATTACTCCTAAAAGTAATAATACAGTATAATTAGTACAGTATTGTACAGTATTTCATAATGTAATATATAAATATCTTTTCCAGTATTATAAGAATTTTATTTTATGTATAACATATTACCAATAAATAATATAACATAATTTAAGTAAATGCCTAAATGTTTAAAATACATTTTATAATTTAAATTTTAAAATAAATAATTTAATATTATTTAAGAGTTATATAACCAATAATTTGTTAATTTAATTTGTTTACCTACTCTATAATAATATATGCTTTATAAAATATATTTTTTAGTAAAGTGTGATATGATCTGTAACAAACCTTCACGTAAATCATTGCAAATTGCAAACAAATCAAATTTTTGAACATAAACTTGAATTAAAAGTCAGATACAATAACTATTTAATACCCATTTACAACATGTATTCTGTTAATAAACTAATGTGTTAAAATTTAAAATACAGTATACAAATTAAGTATTTAAGTTGCATACTACAGCTATACAAAATTTCCAGCTATACATCAATGATAAATATTATACTATAGTACAGTATTAACAGTAATACAGGAATAATAACTTCAAAATATAGTGTTATTTTATTAAAATTTTATCTTTTAAGAGGACATATTTGCACTCAAAAACACATTAACACATTAACAACACATATTACTGTAATAGGGGTTAATATCACTGATTGTATCTTACAAACAAATGTAAAAGTAAAACATGTGCATGTGTTAAATTAAATCTTAATTGTATAATTAAACACTTTAATTTTAATGAATTATTTGAAAACACAATTCTAATTAGGTTAATAAGTAAAAAGAATGTATCTAAAAATATAATATATCTTATATAATAAAAGTTATATTTTATATAATAATTTTATATATTATATATGTGTAGACCTAAAACCATTTAAACGTTTTTACTAAATAGCGTTTACTGTATATAAAAATATTTGTTAAACTTTAATCGAACTTTTATAGTGAATATGAACAATAGTTTTTATTTTTTCACATTAATATTTTTATTATCTTGGTTAGGTTTTTAAATATTAATATATTATAGTTACTATAATATTAATATTAATATTAATATTAAAGTTACTATTCTAGTAATATAAAAATAATAGAGTCAAAAGTTTTATTTTATAATGTATTGCATAATTATAAAACTTAATATTTTTTACTTAATTGTTTTAATTTTGTTTTATTAATTTTACCCAAAGAAGTGGTCGGAAACTTATCCAGTATTACGAGCCCACCCTTCATCTGTTTCAGACTATTCACGCGTTCGTTCACATAATCTATGAGCTCCTGTTCCCCAACAGCACAGCCATCCCTGACTGTGACAAAACCCATGGGCACCTCCCCGTCCACCGAGTCATCGACACCAATGACCGCCGCATTCACTACCGACTCGTGTGTCACCAGAATATTCTCCAATTCCACGGGAGAGACGATTATACCTATTAATCGTAAGTCATATTAAAATTAATACAAAAATGCTTTTATTTTCAAGTTTTGAAATGTGAATCGAGACAAACCATTCAAATTAATGACATCTTTAGAGCGATTCACGAAATAAAACCATTGGTTTTCGTCATAATATCCCAGATCTCCGGTCCTGAAGAAGCCATCACTAGTGATGTAGTTATCAAAACTGTTGGCATATCCTAGATATCCCGGTGTGACCTGGCATTGAAGTATTTATAATAGGGTTGGTTATAAGTTATATAAGTTATAACTATTTGTAATTTAAATAGAAATTGCATTGAATGTAGTGAAATAGACTCACACTTTCACTGCGAATACATATTTCTCCGACACTATTATGAGGCAATGCATTACCCATTGAATCAATGATTTTGATCTCAACCCCTGGATTCGGTTTCCCAATAGTTTGGATATTGGATATTGTTTTGTGTTCACTCAAATACACACATGAAATCCAACCACACTCTGACATACCATACTCTAAATAAGATTTCAAACCAATATACAGTATTATCGATATAATTAAACTTTTATATTAAGTAAAAACTATTAATCAAGAAATATTTGAATTGTTATCAGGCAGAATAGTAAGTCAGGATACTTACGACATCTGAATCTTTCAAATGCATATAAATGGCAAATGTTTTGATAGGTGTGAGCCGTTAGCACAGCGCCGCCACAGAAGACATCTCTCAAACTCTTGAGATATGTTTTGTTATACTTATCATAATTTTTGATCAGAAAATTCAATTCCGTCGGCACTGCGAAAGTATGGGTGACTGACAAGGCGTGGACAGCCGTATAAATGGCTTCATTGCTTACGTCGTCTCCCAATACGGCTAACTGTGCGCCTGAGTCTATAGCGGAGAATAGGCTGCGCTGTCCACACATATGACAGAAGGCCGTCGACAACATTATATCGTCGGGTGTTAGGGGACACACATCCCTGTGCTGTGTTGTGGCCATTATTGATAGGAAGTTACGGTTTGTTCGTATTATAGCCTTTGGAGTACCCGTTGAACCACTACTTAAGACTAGAGTTGCCATATCGTCCAGTCCTCGTGGCACCGGTACCTCAACTTCTGTATTGCGTTGCCTTCGAAACACACTCTCAACTGTCGGACAATTGAGGTGTAACTCATTTTTGGAAAACTCGTCAAAAACCACTATTTCCTAGAATTTTAAATTCAAGTATCATTTTAATAATTTAGATGTTTATTCATAAATACTTTTATGAAATTGAATTGTTTTGCCATTTGAGTCAAAGTGTGAAAGTTGTCTGAAATACCAATCAATACATTGGCCTTAACTGTTGACACGTTTTGCATAATTTCATCTAAATTTTTATATAAAATTATTTAATTCTTATAATTTTGTTTTAATATCCTTACTATGAGTTGCATCCTTAGGCAGTGAACAATAGACACCTCCGGCCGCCAGAACCCCGAGAATACCGATGCCGTGAATGTCGTTATTATTGGCGACGAAGCAAACGATATCTCCTTTTCACTCAAACGTCAGTAAATGCTCTTTTATACGCTTTAACTCTGTGCTTAGGTTATGAAGTGAAGATGAGGTAAAGGAGACACTACAGCTTAGCTAGATATCTAAATTATTATTTATTTAGTACCAATTTTAATTATATCAAGTATACCAAACAATTTTTATCAGGCAACTTTTGTAATCTTTCTACAATAAGTTCCATAACATATTTATTGTAATATTTGTCTAAAATAAGCTCTGATTTAATGATATTTTGATCCATTATTGAACTTTTAGAACATTATATTTTTAATTATATAATAATACTTTGAATTTTTGCTTTCTTTATATAGATTTTTTTATTCATAAATATTTTATTTTATGTCAATAATATCGTAGTAATGGTTTATCTTTATTTATTTATTTGAAATAACTATAGTATAATTATAAATATAATCAATTTGTTTCTATACTGTATACAAAAATGTTTGTTTAATAATTGTTGTGATCCTATAATCAAAATAAGACCTCAAAATCCTTGATCTTTGAATGTATCACATATTAATACTGTATACATTACCGTATATGTATAGTATTCTACAGTATTTTATTTTATTTATATGACAGACGTTAGTGTAAATTATGGTGGCTATATAGTTATATTGTATAAATTGTATATTTTTATCCAAACGTTCTCATTAATTAAAATATAATTTGTTAATTATTTGTTTGAACAAATCTGAGGACATTTATCGATAATTATGAGGAAATCCCCTTACAAGTTAGTACCAGTACTTAGAAATCTTATCTCTAATTTTTATTAATTAATGATTTTAAAACTTTTTGTCCTATTCAAACTTATTAATAGAGAGACGATGATGATAGGGCATAAGGACAATAGGGTGAAATATTATTTATTTATTTCAATATAATTAAGTCGCCTTTTTAAATTTAGATCTTTATTTTTTTAAATTTTTATTTAAAATATATTCATAATTTATGCAATTTTTAATATTTAAATCTACTCAATGTTAAATAAAATAAGTTTTTATCCAGCTATAAAATATTGTAGCTAAAGTAGACTTTTGATCATTTAAAAGTGATGAACCTAAAACCACAGTATCATTGGTCTGTTAGATCGTGTAAGAGTATTGGTATATGGGGTTTACACTCTAATAAATTTTATATAACAATAAAATATTTTACGGTTAGATAATTTATATAATAGTGTATATGTATTGAACAAGCACCATATGAGAGGGAACATTCTTAATCATTCGATGTGTCTGTGTTAGCAAACTGTACACTCAAGTATTTTACCTGATACTTTATTATACCCAAATTCATTACTATATGATATTAAGAAAA